AAAAAAAAAAAAAAAAAAAAAAAAAGGCTATCAGTTTACGTACCTGCCCGTTGGCTGAAGGATACACACCAACTTTTTTTTTCCTTTCTTTTCGCAGAAATGGCCAACAGTCCCCGCTACCGTCTTCCCCCGAATACAACGTACGGTCATTATAGCTGAATTTGGGGTATCTTTCAGACTAAATACAGCTATAATGACCGTACGTTGTATTCGGGGGAAGAAGGTAGGGGGGAGGTAAGAGCAGCCTCCCCTAGAAGGTGCCTCAGGAGCTGCGCCTGCCGGAGAACAGATCCACCGTCCCTTGGACATGAGTGAGGAGAGTGAATGAGAGTGAGAGCACATGCGCAGTGGGATGAACTTATACACACCGATGACTGTTGATGAACAAGTTTTCAGGAGCTATGCTCACTGCTCAGCAATCCAATTGCAGACAATTTTGGGGAGCTATGCTCAGCTATCGCTCTTAATATTTAAGAAAAGGCTTAGAGGCAGGTCCCACATGTGCTACACATATGCTAGGAACTCGTGAACAAGGCCGCTATTACAGCCAGGTTCCTGCTTACCAAGCATGAACATAGCCTTATCTGTGCAACCTTATTTAGGCAATAACTTTGACAAATTTCCATCTATGTGATGACCCGTCCAAACATGAACTGAAACGCACGACTGATTTCTGAGTTTTGCCCATAGACTGAATGCCTTGCTGAGTTTCCCGCCTGCTACTAAGTCTGTGTGTGCACACTTGCTGGACTGCATGTCTGTCTGAGTGCTGGTTGGCTTGAATGTGTGTGTGGCCGTGCCTGTCTGAGTGCTGGTTGGCTTGAGTGTGTGTGTGGCCCACAAGGGCACTTGCTCGTTCATTGGGCCCTCAGGGCCGGTACTTACCTGTGGCCGTGACATTGAGGGATTGCAGGGGAAAAACACTCAAGTAGCGGGTAGGCCGGTACCGCACCTTGAAGAGGTAGATGTGCGGGTACTGGAGGCCGAGGAGAAGAAGACAAAAGTGGCATTTTTAGAGGCCCAGTAGTTGTAGGTTAGGTCTAGGCAGATACCAGTCCAACCAGTCTGGGTCTAGGGCCTGTACGGGCAATATCAGAGTCTGCAATGATGTTTCCCTCCGAAAGGGAGGAGGTACCGGTTGCTTGGAAGGCCGAGCGGCCTGGAAGTCACTGCCCGAAGAGGCAAGCAGTCTGCTATATCTCCCAGCCGGGCGAAGAGCCCGGCCTCTTTCTCGGTGTGCAAGTTTGGCGACACACTGGTTGGAGCGCCGGTTGGAGCAGCGCTATCCAGGAGCAGCGCTGCTGGGGGAAGGAGAAGGACACGGAGGAGGAAGAAGGACAGGAAGGGGGAGGAGCGCCAGGGGTACTTACCTGGCTATGGTGGCAGGCATATTCATCACCTTGGTGGGCGCTGCAGCAGGGAGTCCCCAACTGGGGAGAGCCACACCAAGAAGCTTCAAGGCAGAGTTGGACATGGCGGCCTGAGTGAAGCAGCCATAGCTGCTTTGGGTTGTCCTTTGGGCATCTGGGCAAGGCCTAGTAGTCCGCCATAGCCTCGGCCTATGAGAGTGAAGAGTGGGAGAGGCGGCCATGGCTATGGTGGACCTCAAGTGATACCTGCAGTAGAAGAGGAACTCGGACATTGATTCTGGATCAGCCATTCAACGTTGTATTATTATTTCTTGTATGAATAAGAGAAAGGGGAGATAAGGAGGAGGAGATTGTTGGGCAAAGAAGAAGAGCCTTGTCGTTTGTCTATGCTGGTGTACATCATCTTCTTCTTCTTCTTTCTTACTTCTTCTTCTTCTTCTATTCCTCTCTCTCCTCTCAAGTTCATTCATTTCTTTCTGCAATTGGACGGCGTTGTACTATCTGATGGATGTGTATCTCGAAATTGGTCAGGATCATAACATCTACCTTCTTTAGGCAATAACTTTGCAAATTTCCATGCATGAGAAAAGATGGAGCGGCAGGTAAAGCACCTGTGGGCTGAAGAACGGGGGGAATGGCGAACGGAACAAGAACTCCGGAACACCCTGAAAGGCTGTCATGCTCTCGCAGACAACCTAAGTATAATCCAGAAAAGCATCCCACCCCATTGGCTTCACCTCTTGAAAGATGAMTTCTCCTGGAAACCAGGGGACTGGGGTATACCCATATCCCTAACTTCGCCGAACAGAGCATACCGGTTCGTATCCCGCACGCTACCCACCGGCTACTTCTCCAAATTCTATTCCTATCCCATAGCCAATCTCAACCTCCAGGAACYAACCATCCTCAACAGAGAACCTCAGATAGAGACGATAGAGTCCTTCCGTCTGAGAAAAGTGAGGGTATCCAAAACCAAACCATGGATAATCTTCCAGCCTAACCTCAGCATAGCAGAGCTCGAATTCGACCCTAAGGAGTGGATATGGAAACAAGGCAGATCCAAAAAAACTAGAACAATAATGGAATACGACGTAAATTTTGGGTACAACCTAGGCCTACAGACCACGGACCCCAACCCCAAACTGGAAAACAGATGGGGAGAGACACTGAACCTAGAGCCAACAGCCTCAATATCCATCCCCTGGACTAAATACCTTCCCATCAGGCCAGCTAGAATCCGAAGCTTACAATGGCTCCTAGCCCAAGCAGCACTCCCTGTCAACGAATGGCTCCACAAAAGAAGAAAACGCTCGGACCCCGACAGCTCGGAACTCTGCGTAATGTGTGGTGACAACGTCCCTGAAGACATCCCCCATTGCCTCTTACACTGCAGCCAGGCCGCCTCTGAGGGGATATGGAACAGAATCCGAACTCTATGGCACCATCTCTTCTCATCCCCTCCCCCCATCCTCACCCCACAGAACATCCTACTCCTTTCTAACATCCCCGACAGTCTCAGAGGCGGAAAAGCAGTCTGGTTCCACTTGCTCAGGAAACTAGCTCTGTGGGTAATCTGGAAAAGGAGATGCGCCAAGACAATCGAGGGTACCGAGGTGGCAAGAGAAGACATGTGGGTTCTACTGCTGCGAATGGCTGAAACGGAGATACGATCCAAATGGAGGGAGGTGACATCAATAACGAAAGGCAGACCAGAAAGGATAGCCAGCAAGAGACGAGGTTT